ATTCTGAGTAAGAGCATCCACCCAGCCGTTTACTATGGTTTAACTAATCTGCTTTAAATTCACACTGTTTGGATCAATTATTCCTGAGTGTCTCTCTGTAGACAAACACTAATGATTGAATATTGTTATAAAATTCCCCCAGGATGGGGTTCTCTTTTTTCTTCCCCCCTCTCATTTTTGATTACAGCCAATTTGAATCATTAACCCACCTATTATCCTGTAGTATGATAGGGGAGAAGAATATCCTGTAGGGGAGAAGAATCTTTCAGTGTCAAAACATCCTATTTTGACATTCTCAGAATGCAAGATTTCGATGTTTTATTTTGAAATGACTTCATTTCGATTTTGCCTTTTTATTTTATATTCTATAATACACAATGAAGAAAAAATCAAAACAAAAAATCCTTTGCAAAAAATGAAACATTGAAACTTTTCATTCAGAAAAATGTCAAAAGGGAATGATTTGACATTGTTGGAAAGCTTTCTCCCTGGTTTTCCACCATAATGAAATGTCTGTCCTTCGACACTATTTTGTGTAGTGTTTCAACTTCTGTAGAAGTGCTTTCTCTGATGGAACATGGTTCTGCTGAAGTTTTTCAGCCAGTTGCAGTAGAACCCTTCTGCCAGCTGGTGGCGGTAGTGACAAGGACTGGAGTCAATATCTAGGGCTTCCTCTTCACATTAAAAAACAAAACCGGCCTGTACCCCCGCCTAGTAATCTGGGAAAACTAAACACCACCCCTGTCAATACTTCCCCACTCGCAAGCACTGAGTCTGTATTTGACAAAAGAAAACTTTCATTAAAAAGAAGAGGGAGCTCAGCATTAATTTCGGAAGACACCACAACAATGATTCAAAAGTTTGCAAACCATAATTAAACACCCACCTCACAGTCTGTTGGGCAGTGTCCTTTGCCTCAGTTCCCCACTTTGCAGTGTGACAGTCTGACAGAGAAATGTCCCTTTAATGCACCACTCCCCTCTCCTTCTGCTGCAAACCACTCGCAATTGGTTGTACAAAATCAGCAAAGTCCCAAAATAAAGGGATGCGTTCCTGTGGATCTCCCTCCCACCCCTAAAGAGAGGGGTTGAGCAATGCCTCTGACTGCTGGGGGGGGGGGGGGGGGGTGTGGTCCCCATACTAATTTCCCCCTGCTGTTACTCACACCTTCTTGTCAACTGTTTGAAATGGGCCACCCTCATTACAACTACAAAAGTGATTTTTCCTCCCTTGGTATTCTACTGTTAATTGAATTGTCTCGTTAGACTGACCCCCCACTTGGTAAGGCAACTCCCATCTTTTCATGTACTGTGTATATATACCTGCTCCTGTATTTTCCACTCCATGCATCTGATGAAGTGGATTCTAGCCCATGAAAGATTATGCCTAAATAAATTTGTTAGTCTCTAAGGTGCCACAAGGACTCCTCGTTGTTTTTACATCTAAACTGCCATTTGGTATCTAACTTTATGGATGATCCAGAAAGACTCATTACAAAGTAGCAGAACTACCGTCTCTGCTATGATCCTGATCTACAGACTCTCTAAATCAATTGTAATGTAGATGATTCTTTTAACCATTTACTAACTGTCTTCTTTTCTTTTTTATTAATAAACCTTTTGTTTTAAGGTTTCAGAGTGGTAGCTGTGTTAGTCTATATCAGCGAAAACAATGAGGACCTTAGAGACTAACAAATTTATTTGGGCGTAAGCTTTTGTGGGCTAAAACCCACTTCATCAGATGCATCACTTTTGTTTTTAGTTACAAAGGGGATTGGCTGCAGCGTGATTTTCGGATAAGATCTAAAGTCTATATTAACCTGAGGACAGTGGCTTTGGGATTGGAAGAGCTTTATATGTGATTTCTGGATTTAGTAATCATTTATCACAAAAGACCAGTTTGGGTGGACAAGCCAGGAGCTGAATGCCGAGAGGGGCTGTGCTTTGGCTTCCTGTTAACCAGTGTGGGGATATAAGAGCTCATTTTGTTACTGTTTTGGTGAATCTATATATAGAATAAACCATAAGTTTTGGGGGTGTATCTGCCCTGTCCTGAATTGGGCATTCTCAGTGGTGATTCATACCAGGCAACAGTCACACCAGTAACAATTCTACTGTCAGCAAATTTAATAATATGAGCCTACACCATCAAAATATGCATTTATCCACATTTTAGAAAGACCACTTTGGGAGGAAACTCAGATACAATAAAAAGAAAAGAAGTACTTGTGGCACCTTAGAGACTAACCAATTTATTTGAGCATAAGCATACTTATGCTTATACTCATCGGATGCATACTGTGGAAAGTGTAGAAGATCTTTTTATACACACAAAGCATGAAAAAATACCTCCCCCCACCCCACTCTCCTGCTGGTAATTGCTATTACATTATGCATCCGATGAAGTGAGCTGTAGCTCATGAAAGCTTTGGCTCAAATAAATTGGTTAGTCTCTAAGGTGCCACTCCTTTTCTTTTTGTGAATACAGATTAACACGGCTGTTACTCTGAAACCTGTCAGATACAATAAATTGCTTACAGCAAAATCAGGGAGATTTCTAAAAGAAAAATGAGTTACATGAAGAACACCTATGGTAAGTTTTATACACAGTTTGCACCTCATGAAAACAACTCGGATGTGACAGATGCTGGACATTTTAGTTTGAACGCCGTGCATCTCAAGGGGGTTTTCCATATGATCCGTTCATTTTTATTTCATATTCCTGGTATTGCCAGAGTCATTCCCACTCTTACAGTTAGATTATTTACTTGACGGTATAATGGGGTGGAAGAGATGATCGAGAAGGAAATGTCGTGCATGATGGAATTCAGCATCATTCATATATTTGTCATCAACACTATATTTCTCATCTGTTTTTGCCTTTCCATCCTATATTGGACAGCGGGCACAAGGGAACTGATTGGGCTTTCATGTCTCTGTTCATTTTAAATTGCTTTTGGTAAAATTCATATGGAAACCAACCTTTTGTTTCTGTCTCAAAATACACCTCAGACAGCAAACCAGCGCTTTCCAGAAAGTTTTAACAGACAAATTTCCCTCTCAGGTCCATTGTCGGAGGGACTTTAATAAGATTAGGGTGCTTTCAATGACTTAGGTGCTTTTGAAAATCCCACCTGAAGTTACTTAGCAGCACAAGTTCCATTGGAAATCAGTGAGTCTTACGTCGCTTCAGTTCTTTTGAAAATTCCAGCCTTCGCACCTCGTACACATGCTAACAGTTGTATGCAAATATATATTAGCTGGTTGTGGCTAAATAACAATCAGCTCACATGATTTTAAACACCCCTGTGTCCAGTGATGAGCTGCCAAAATCTTAACAACCGGTTCCCTATAAAAAGTTCTGATTTAAGGGATGTGCCCCAGTATGTATTTTTTGTACCAACAGGGTAACCATATGTCCGTATTTTCCTGGGAGGAATTTTTAAATTTTAAAAATTCCTCCTGGACGGCGATTTAAGAACCAAAAAACCTGACCTGTCCGGGAAAATACGGATGTATGTTAACCCTGCCTAAAGTTCTTTTTAAAAAAGATGGGCCTGAACTAGAAATGAGCTCCGTTTCACATGTGTGGATCCCTGCCATTCCCTGGGGGTGTGCTAGGGTGACCAGATGTCTCAATTTTATAGGGACAGTCCCAATTTTGGGGTCTTTTTTTTTATATAGGCTTCTATTACCCCCCAACCCTTGTCCTGATTTTTCACACTTGCTGTCTGGTCACCCTAGGGTGTGCACATGTGTGGGTCCCAGCTGCTCCCTGCCCCCCTCATTGAAGCAGGTGTGCAGGGTTACTGCCCTGGGAACTGCAGGGCACCAGTGGATGTGGGGCCAGCTGCAGGGTTGGCTGGAGGCAAGGGGGTGTGGGGCTGGCTGGAGACAGGGGCAGGCTGCGGGCAGGGCAGGGGGTGCATGTAGCAGGGGCTGGCTGCGGGCAGGGCAGGGGGTGTGGGGGTGGCTGGCTGGAGGCAGGGGGTGCGGCAGGGGCTGGCTGGAGGCAGGGCAGGGGGTGGCTGGAGACGGGCTGGCTGGAAGCAGGGCAGGGGGTGCGGCAGGGGCTGGCTGCGGGCAGGGGGTGCAGGGGTGGCTGGAGACAGGGGCTGGCTGCGGGCAGGGCAGGGGGTGGCTGGAGACAGGGGCTGGTGTGGGCAGGGCAGGGGGTGGCTGGAGACAGGGGCTGGCTGCGGGCAGGGCAGGGGGTGGCTGGAGACAGGGGCTGGCTGCGGGCAGGGCAGGGGGTGGCTGGAGACAGGGGCTGGTGTGGGCGGGGCAGGGGGTGGCTGGAGACAGGGGCTGGTGTGGGCGGGGCAGGGGGTGGCTGGAGACAGGGGCTGGTGTGGGCAGGGCAGGGGGTGGCTGGAGACAGGGGCTGGTGTGGGCGGGGCAGGGGGTGGCTGGAGACAGGGGCTGGTGTGGGCGGGGCAGGGGGTGGCTGGAGACAGGGGCTGGTGTGGGCAGGGCAGGGGGTGGCTGGAGACAGGGGCTGGCTGCGGGCAGGGCAGGGGGTGGCTGGAGACAGGGGCTGGTGTGGGCGGGGCAGGGGGTGGCTGGAGACAGGGGCTGGTGTGGGCGGGGCAGGGGGTGGCTGGAGGCGGGCTGGCTGGAGGCAGGGCAGGGGGTGCGGCAGGGGCTGGCTGCGGGCAGGGGGTGGCTGCGGGGAGGGTGGGGGGGCTCGCGGGGGGAGCAGCAGGACGCAGCCCAGGCCCAGCAGAGCAGCCGGGGGAGCAGCAGCAGCCCCAGGGCCGGTGCTCAGGGCCGGGCGGCAGCCCACGTGGCTCCCGCAGCGCAGCGCCCCCGGCGGCCGGAGGAGGAATTACGGCACTTCCCAAGGCCCGAGCCCAGCCATACAGCTACGGGGAGAGCGTCACCCCCCTTCAGCCCTGTCTGTGCAGGGGGGGCGGGGAGGACGGGCGGAGTCCTCCAGGTCATAGAGATCAGGAGGGAGGGGGCTAGAGGAGCCTGTTTCGGGGGGACAGAGGGGGAAGCTCAGGGACACAGTGTGAGTTGGCAGCGTCGGCCCAGGGAACGGTACAGTAAAGCAGAAGATCTTCCCTCGAATCCCGTGCAGAAGAACGGGCGGATTCTCTCCCCGGTGAAAGCGGCCGGCGGGAAAGTGACGATCGGGTCCCCGCGACCAGCATCGAAAAACGTCACCCGCCCCCCTTCACAGTCCAGATAAACCCGGATCCTGCGGGGTGCCTGGCTCGGGGAGAAGGGGGTGAGATCATCAGGGGACGTGAGAGCCCGGGACTGATCTCCTCTGCCCTGCACAGCCCAGATCCCCTGCTCAGGGGTAAAGCTGATCCGTCCCTTCCTGCCCACGGACTCTCTGGCCACCCCCACAGCCCAGACTCCCCTCCACTCCCCCTCCACCTCCACCTCCACCTCCCAGTAGTGTCGGCCCGAGGTGAATCCCTCACAGCCCAGCACGCAGGGCTCATAGTCAAATCTCTCAGGGCTGTGGGGCAGAGCCTGCCGCGTGCGTCCCCATGTCACACGTCTCCGACCCTCAGACAGGATGAGGTGGCGATGGGCCGTGTCTGGATCCAGAGTCACCTTCGCTGCAGAGAGAGAATCAGAGCGTGAGGGGCAGAGCTCGGCCCTGGGGCAGGGTCTGATCGTGTCAGTCACAGAACCTGCCCCAGCGGGGGAGTGAGTCAGAGAATCTCCCCCCTCCAGGATTTACCCAGCTCTGCATGGGGAGCACCGCTGAGATCTCAGCCATGTGCAGGGGGGATTCACACCCCTGACAGAGCCAGTTCAGTGTCAGAGTGAAGGGATCAGCTCAGCTGAGCCAGGCCCCCAAACCCAGAGTCTGAGGCCTGGTCTACACTACGAGTTTATGTCGGATTTAGCAGCATTAAATCCGAATTAACCCTGCACCCGTCCACACAACGAAGCCATTTTTTCAACATAAAGGGCTCTTAAAACCGATTTCTGTACTCCTCCCCAACGAGGGGATTAGCACTGATATCTACATCACCGTTTCGAATTAGGGTTAGTGTGGACGCAATGCGAAGGTATTGGTCTTCGGGAGCTATCCCACAGTGCACCATTGTGACCGCTCTGGACAGCACTCTGAACTCAGATGCACTGGCCAGGTGTACAGGAAAAGTCCCGGGAACTTTTGAATCTCATTTTCTGTTTGGCCAGGCGAGCCCATCAGGACAGGTGACCATGCAGTCCCAGAATCGAAAAAGAGCTCCAGCATGGACCGAACGGGAGGTACCGGATCTGATCGCTGTATGGGGAGAGGAATCCGTGCTATCAGGACTGCGTTCCAAAAGACGAAATGCCAAAACATTTCCAAAAATCTCAGAGGCCATGAGGGACAGAGGCTACATCAGGGACGCAACACAGTGCCGCGTGAAACTTCAGGAGCTCAGACAAGCGTACCAGAAAAACTGAAGAATCAAACGGACGCTCCGGGACAGAGCCGCTTCTACGCTGAGCTGCATGCAATTCTAGGGGGGGCCGCCACCACTACCCCACCCCTGTCCGTGGACTCCGAGGATGGGATACTCTCCGCCATGGCTGAGGACTTTGCAGATGGGGAAGATGAGGAGGAGGACGAGCTTGGGGAGATCACACAGCACACCATTTTCCCCGACAGCCAGAATTCAAATGGATGGCGGAGACTGCAGGAACTGTGAGATAGCTACCCACAATGCAATGCTCCGGAAGTTGACGGTTGCCTCGGTACTGTGGACACACTCCTCCGACTACATGCACTTAGAGCATTTGTGTGGGGACACACACAATCGACTGTATAAAAACGCTTTCTACAAAACCAACTTCTATAAATTCGACCTAATTTCGTAGTGTAGACAAGGCCTGAGTCTCAGTTATTCCATCCTTGTGCTTGGGGGAAAGACAAGGGGGGTTAGAGGGAGGTGGTTTTAAGCTTTGTCCTTCCTTTACTCTACCTGGCCCCTAGTTACAGGGGCCTCAGGGCTGAAAAGCGGAGAGCAGCCATAATGTGATGCATCCTGTCTATGCCCCCAGCTAATATGTGATGTCTACCTAACCCCTTTTGACATTTTTAGCATTTTTTTCTTTTCACTTATAAAGTAGAGAGATAAAACAGAAATGTATATTTTTGTATGTTGAAGTTTCCTATTCTTCATTGTACCACTTGTGCATTTGCTAATAATAATCATATGGCCAGGGGATGTGATGTATGTGCATAAAGAATTCTGAAAATGAGGGGAGATGTTCCTCTCTGATTTTCCAAAAGGCTCATTTTTAAACTCTTAAATCTCTATGGAGATACACTGCTGGCCCCCTCTCCCGCACCCCAGCCCAGCTGGTTAACCCAACCACTAGTTAAAAGTTCTAAATTATAATAGAGAAAAGAATCTACTTTTCTGTTTTTAGGAAAGATCTGGGTAGCCACCAGTAATATGTCTGTTTGGCTCCTGTCAAATGCAAAATTGAAACAAAACTTGAAATATGGCGCTGCCAATAAGCCACCATAATTCATATGAAAGTTTTCACTCCCGCTTTTATACGAGAAATTTACCTTTGTCCAACCGCTGTCTAGACGACAGTGAGTCTAGAGGAAGAAAAGGATGAAAAAGACGAAATGTCATGTTGTCGTGTTTATGAATATATTCACATTGTTAATGTTCTAACACAAAAGCCAAATGAAAAGAAAACAAACTTTATGAAGTTCTAGTTAAGGAGGTTAAGTGTAATTCAGACCAATACAAACCATTATACACCTCACTAAAAAATAACCACAAACATTAAAAACTAAGCATATTACCTAAGATTACATGACATAGTCAGAGATGTTTTACACAGCAAATAGTCACCTGTGGCTGGCCCATGACAGCCTGTAACAAAGCGGCCTCTGGCAAGACACTACTGAGAGTATCAATTCAGGACAAATTGCTTAGAGAAGGGCAATCACAGCCCAAGGCTAGGACGGCACACCAAACCAACCAAACAGAGAGGACTTCGGTCTCACCCCACTGGCTAACCAGAAGTCATACAAGCAATTCCCTCAGACACTCCCGTTTCCCAGTATCACCACCAGCACCACTCCTTATGGGGATGAATGGTTAAGAAAACCAATACCACAGAAAAAGGAAAAAAAGGTCATAAGGTGTATCTGCCTTCTCTCAATGGGTCACTTGTATAGCTGATGGTCCTTAATGGGCCATCAAGCATGCAAGGCAGTGCTGATGCCAAACTGTTTGAGGTGTCACCCAGAAGCATAGCACAAGTTTGAAATGATACATGCATACAGATAGCATAATCATAACCAGCAAATCATAACCTTTTCATAGAGACCTTACTTGACCTCCTTTGTAAAAGATTTGGTGCCACTATAGGACCTTGGTTCCAACAATGATCTATAAGGTCACACAGCCAACTTGGGCTTGCAGAGCTCGGGGAATGGGGCTGTTTAATTGTGGTGTAGATGCTCGGGCTTTGGCAGAAGCCTGGGCTCTGGGACCCTGTGACAGAAGTGGGTCGCAGAGCCTAGGCTCCAGCCCCAGCCCAAACCTCGTGAGCCTGAGTCAGCAGCCACAGGCCAGCCACAGGTGTGTAATTGCTATGTAGACAAACCGTCTGAAACCAACACATAATTCACAGACAGACCAATACACAGAAACTTTCTCACTGATTAGCATTCAATCAACATTAAATCTGCCCCTGTACCATTAGAACTTAGTAAACTTGGCTCATCCTTCCTGACAGACCTGATGGTCTCTTTATCTCCAGCTCAGGGAGATAAAAGGTGGAGAATATCTAAAGCGGGGGTGTGGAACCTACGGCCTGCAGTCCAGATCCAGCCTGTTGCTAAATTTCATCCGTCCCGCAGCACCACTTCCCTCCCCTGCCGCAGGGATGGAGCCACAAGTGCCGACTCACCCTGCCGCGGGACAGGGGAAGCCCCGAGTCTCTGTGAAGAGCTGTAGGAACGAGGAGTGGAGAGGGTGCTGTAACACCCCCCAGGTTTTGTGCATGGTCTTGAGCCTCCATGCACCCTCTCTGTCCCCCTGCGGGTGAGTGGCCCAGGATTGATTTTTTTCTGTGGGTCAATGGCCTGTGATAGAAAAAAGTTTCCTCACCCCTGGTCTAAAGCAAGAGAGGGACTCTGATGACACAGGAGGCCTTGCAGACAAAAAATCCAAACAAACATACTTCAGAAACAGTTAATTCAGCAGAAAGCTCAAGCTCAGGTTAACGTTCATAGCTGCTAGGAAAGGAAAATCCCCAGGGAGTTCAAATTTAGGACCCTAACCCAGTGTGTATGTGCCGCATTGAGAGCTGAGGAGGGAATTCATAGGTTCTGAATGATTAGTTGACTATCTCCGTCCACAATTATTTTTCCTCAGACATGTCCCCAGCTCTGTCAATTATCAGTGTAATATATGTGAGAAAATTCCCCAGGTGACTGTTTAGTACCTTTGAATTTCTTCATTATGGTCTCCAGAGATGCATTCCTTTGAGAAGATTCCCAGATTCTCCATTTCAGTTCCGAAGAAAAGGCCACTGGGTTCTGAAACTTCTCCCTCTCAAATCTGAAGAACAACCCAGTGTTACTCCTTGTGGAGTCCGTTCATATTTGTGTTTTACTAAAATGTATTTTATTCTAGCAAATGGTTGTAGCTCAGCCGACCCTGGAGGATTAAATTCTCTCTGGCCCCAGGAATAGGTCCAATACCAGCTTTGACACTACAAGCTTCCCCTTCATTTTGGTGAGACCGACATTGGAAAACTGCATCCAGGTCTGGTGTCCCCATTTTAAAATGGACGTTGAAAAAATGGAGATGGTGCAGAGAAGACCCTCAAAAATTATTTGAGGGCTGGGGTAAAAATGCCTTGCACTGAGAGCACCCTGGCACTTGAGTATGGGGCATAAATACCATCACGGGGAGAAAATACTTGGTACTAAAGGGCTCCTCAGTTTAGCAAACAAAGGCACAACAAGGACCAATTGCTGGAAGCTGAAGCCAGAGAAATTCAAATGGGAAATAAGACAGACTTTTTAAGAGTGTGGGTGAATTAACCATTGGAAGAAACTGCCAAGGGAAGTGGTGGATTCTCCATCTCTTGATGCTCTCTCAGTTTTAACCTGCCTTAAAGGCAAGTGATGGGGGGAGGGGGTGGAGAGGAGCGAGCAGGGGGGTGGGATTTCAGGGGAAGAGGCAGAGCAAGGGTGGGGCCATGGTTTGGGCACTGGTGGCCCCCCCACTTCTAGGGAGCTTCAGGCGTTACTGTCTCTTGATGTCTTTAAATCTAGACTGAATGGCTTTCTGGACGGTGCTTTAGTCGATGCATGTTAGGATTTAGTCAAATACAAATTATTGGGTTGAATACAGGAATAACTGGATGAAATTTAAGTACCTGTGATACATAGGCACCAACTCTGTGTGTGCTCCAGGGCTGGAGCACCCACGGAAAAAAAATCGTGGGTGCTCAGCCCCACCAGCAGCCCCACAGATCAGCTTCCCCCCACTTCCCGCCAATGCCTCCTGCCTGTTAGCAGGCCCTGCCGATCAGCTCTTCCCCCTGCCTACCAGGACCTCCTGCCCACCGGGGATCAGCTGTTTAGTAACGGAAAGGAGGCCCTGGGGGGGAGAGGGGTCGAGCAAAGGCGGGAAGAGGTGGGGCATGGCAGGAAGAGGCAGAGCAGGGCCTTGTGGGGAAGAGGTGGAGTGGGGGCAGGGTCCGGGGCCAAGCAGGGGTCGAACACCCCCAGGGGAAAGAGAAAGTCAAAGCCTGTGCTGTGATATACAGGAGGTCAAATGTGATGATCTTACAGTCCTTTCTGGCCTTCAACTTTATGCACCTATGAAACTCAGTAATACCATGTGGCAATGAGTTCCATGGGTTAATTATGAATTGTGTAAAAAAAAGTATTTCCCTTTCTCAGCTTTACACTAGTTGCCTTTCAGCTGCACTGAATGTCCCCTTGTTCTTGTATTGTGAGTGTGGGAAGCAGGATCCCCTGACATATCCTGACACCATTTAAGGGAGATAATTAGTGACAATCCTTGTGGTGATGTCGATACCCATCATACCAGGACCTGGAGTGAGACCCATTAACCCATTTCAAAGATAATTTATGTTCTTATTTCGTTCTTTGGATACATACAATGGTCAGTCCACTAGCACAGGGGTTCTCAGCTTACAAAGGCGAGTGTGTGTCCACTCCACCCTGAGCAAGTGGCAAACGACTTAATGAACTTGCACTGTCCAACGGAGCCTTGAGCAGAGTGAGTCGGTGCAGTTCTGGGGGGCAGGGCTGGAGCTGGGGGGAACTGGCTGGTGCCTTTCTATTGCCGCTTCATCAATGGCTGGGAGGTGAGTCGTGTAACACAGCTGGGCGTGTCCCTGCCCGTGGGCGTGTCCCTGCCCGTGGGCGTCTGCGTAAGCGCAGGGCCTGTCAGGTTTGTAGGTTGACATCAACATCAAGGTGCGAGAGGCAGCCCAGGTCGGGGATTTGGAGAGCTCAGCAGTCCCACCGTCCAGGTTGCACCCCGGCAACCCTGTCACACTGATGTAAATCTCCCTTGTTGCAAATTAAACCAATTACTTCTTGTTCTACCCACACTGGACTTGAAGCACGAGTGATCACCGCTCTCTGTAGAACAGCCTCAGACATATCTGAAGACTGTTATCAGGCCCTCCCTGAGTCTTCTCTTCTCTAGACTAAACATACCCATTTATTGCAACCTTTCCTCACAGCTCGTCCATTCTAAACCTCTGATCATGTTTGTTGCTCTCGTCTGAAATCTCTCCAATTTTCCCCCATCTTTCTGAAAGTGCGATGCCCAAAACAGGACATGGTATTCCAGCTGAGGCCTCACAGTGGCAAGAAGGGTGGAACAACGTCCACCTGGGTCACTCCTGTTAATATGCCATATGACAGTCTCATTAATACATCTGTGATGGGATGTTCACCCCAAATCAGCCCCCAAAAAGGATGAAGGAAGCTGAGAAAGAGGAGATTAGTGAGACAGGCCACACATGAGCGGTTTAGGCCAGAGAAGCAACCCCTAATTGGAAGATGAAGCTCAGCTGAGCAGTTGTGGGCTGGGCTAGTAGAAAGCCAGGAAACTGGCAACAAAAATTGGCTGCAGTGAGAAAGTCTCCTGCCACCCTCTGTGCATTAGTGAGGGAAAGAGGGAACCCAGGGGAAGAATAGCATGCTCGGAGCCTGGCCCTGAAGGAAGGGAGTACTTAGAATCATAGGGCTAGAGAGGACTTCAAGGGTCATCTAGTCTAATCCCTATAAGAGAGAAGGGTGGAGAAGAAAGCCTATGGGAGGTGAGTAGGAAGCAGCCCAGGGAGAGAGCAGACCTTGCCTGCATGTGGCCTACCATGGTCCCTGGGCTGGAACCCGAAGCAGTGGACAGGCTCAAGTTTCCCTACCAGCCACTGATGGAGGGGAATTGCCTGGACAGTGGGACCAGGGAGACTCTATACCACAGAAGGAGAAACCATTTAGTGATCAGGCTGGAGGGCCGAAGAGGAAGCTGCAGCTCCTGGAGCGAGAGATGAGGCTGCAGAGTGACAGAGAGCACACCTGGGGGAGAGACTGCAAGGGGAGGTGTTGGACCTGGAAGCAGAACAGAACAGCCAGGAGGAGTCAACACCTGCCGTGAATACAGCAACCTGGGACAACATCCCAGAATGACGTTGGCCTTTTTCACAACAGCATCGCACTTCTGACTCATTCAATGTGTGATCCACGTGAACCCCCAGATCTTTTTCCACAGTACTGCTGCCAGCCCAGTTATTCCCCGTTTTGTAATTGTACATTCGATTTTTCCTTCTGAAGTGCAGTACTTTGTCCTTATTGAATGTCCCCTTAAATGTATTGTAATCCTTCCTCCCTCCGCCCTTGTTCTCGTGTGTCTATTTAGAATGTAAACTCGTTGGGGCAGGGACTGTCTCTTTGTATATGTCTGTGCAGCACCCAGCATGCTGGGCCCTGATTTTGCCTTGAGCCTCTAGGCCCTGCCATAATACTACTGATAAAGAGCACATTATAAAGTCCTTAGGGCAGGGAATGTCTCTTCTAGCATATCTGTTGCCACGCCAAGCCCACTGATAGAGCTCACGGCATAATAAGAAACAATTAATAAACAGCTCATTGAATAGTCATCAGACGGCCCTGACTATCCATCCCTACCAACCTAGGTGGAGATGGAGTCTATGACCTAGAAATGAAAAACTCATTCTCCATCCCCAATTTCCTGAGGTCTCTGTTCCACCAGAAGCACTACAAATAACTCTATCTGTAGGTAAATCACTCTTTTCTCAGGCTGCTCTATTCTGGAGTCTAGTCCAACATGACAACAGCCTCAAGATTAGATTTAACAGAGGGAGATTGGGAACCACCCCCACAGTCTTCACTGCTGGACCATGGGGAGCCAGGTCTCATGTCCAAAATCACTTCTCTGCCCTGGGAAGTGAAAGGGAGAGTGAGAAGGAGCCACCTACCTGCTCAAGGTGCCTTTGATGTCCTAGAGGAGAAAGATAAAAGGAAATTCAGTCCCATTGATCACATACTGGGGTTCCCTTCTGCTCTGGAGGGGATTCACTTTGTCTTCACAGTTTTGAGTTTCCAAGTGAAATTATATTTGTTCTTTATTAATAAAAACAAAAATATCAAACATGTTGCCTTTGCTCTTTTGGAGAAGTGCTCTGACTGCAGGATCTGGGCCCAGGAAGTTTGTCTATGGAGGCACACTACCTCTTCATAGAGTGACATTTGGATAACCAGCTGGCACATGGAATCAGAGGGCTCAGTCTTATGATGTGTTGAACAAGGATCTTCCTAACACATAGGTTTGGGGAAGATCCACTCCTGGAGACTCCAGTGGGTCCAGAGGGAGGGATGCCCCCAGGCTGTGCTGCTTCAATGCTTTAAACTTTCTCCCCACTGCCCCATAAACATTCGCAAGGCCCATCCTCTGGACTTCTTGACCTCCACAGGAAGTTGGGGCTGGGTGAGAACAATGGGGGTTGGGTACAGAGTAACAGCGGGCCAATCACTGCCCTACACGCCAGGTTCAATGCAGGAGATCTGGGAAGTGAAGAACACTGCCCACAGCAGATATTGGACACAACAGAGAATTTGACCCTCGATATCAGCTAGGGAAGTCCAGTAGACTAAGATTTATTTCTCCCTTCCTTTTTTGCTAGTTAGAGGCACTTTTTGAACATTAAAATAATTAGAAGGCTTTTGGAATTCTAACGACTACTTACACTTTCAAGGTACCATAAGTAACGAACGCCTTGTCTAACTAAACTTCAGTTCTGGCAGAAAAAGTCACACCAGCCTCAGACCTCATGTATCAATTTTGAGGCCAATCTTTTTCCTTTTTTGTGGTATGTATTAAGAGTGGCAAAATCAGTCTTAAAATGGAACAGGTTGAATCTTAGCTTTTTCCATAATTAAAGACTGGCTCCATCTTAGATCTTCTGAAGTTAGCATTTGGAACACAGGAAATGATCAACAGGATCAGACCTGAGGTCCATCTAGTTAGTATCCTGTCTCCAAAAGTGGACAATGTCAGATGCTTCAGAGGAAGGTGTAAGAAAATCTGCTCCTCACATTCTCACGCTGCTCTCTAATAGCTAGAGACTGGCTGAAGCAATGAAGAATGAAGTTTAATATCAATTAATTTTTTTGTTATTTATTATAACTCTGGATATTCTTATTGTCCATATAAATGTCCAATTGGTTTTTGAGTTTTCTAAATTCTTGGTACCAATGACATCCTGTAACAATGAGTTCCATGGTCTAATTAGGTGATGTGTGAAAATGTATCTTTGGGTCAGTTTTGAATTTGCCACCTTCTAATTTTATTGAATGTCCCTTTGTTCTTGCATTATGAGACAGGGAGAACAGAGTTTGGAGTTTGAGATTTTTGGAGGAGTCTTCTCCCACTAAAATTCTAAAGAAGAGCTTTTTTTATTCTTTTAGGGCTCTATCCAATGACCACTGGAGTCAAGAAGAATATTTCCATTGACTTTAATTGGCATTTGATCAAGCCCTTAAAAAAATGTATATTTCACTCTTATACTCCAAAAGTGAAGGGTTAGGAGACTTTCTTTCCCTGTGAAATGTTCTAGGGTGTTTCTAACACTGTCTCACCTGCAGGAATTCACTCGCTGGTAGCTGGCACTTCTGCTCCATCTCACTGATCAGGTGACTGAAAGAAGATATTTCCTCAGATAGTTTGGCAACATACTCAGCCCTCCTCTTTTCAATTTCCTTATTCAGCTCTTCCAGCTGGGCCAGGAGGAGTTGCTCTTGTTCCTTCAGTAACTGGTACAGTTGCTGAACTTCAGACACAAGCTTCTGCTTCTCAGTTTCTAGCTGTTTCTGAAATGAAGAGATACAAACAGGGAAAGCACAGGTCAAAGCCAGGAACAAGCCAGGGAAAATCATGGGATAGTTTATAAAGACTTATGTATGAACATGGAAGCATATCATTGCATATGTATATCAGAGGCCACCTGCCAGGTCAGACCCCACACTCTATCAACCCCATCAAATTTAACGTCTGACATTTTATCGAGTGCATACTCTATGCTCAGTAGACCGAAGATTTTCCAATAGATTTTCAAGAGTCCTAACTGGTGTTTAGAATTGTGGTGCATGGCGAGAAAGGGTTAAACATCCTGCAAAATAAATAACCCACAGAAGACATGTGGGGAGATAATGTTTGTGCTTTTGTGTATTTATAGATGTATGAGTAGGGTGGACAATGTAGTCAACAGTCCCTGTCTGTGCTGTATTCTGATAATTCAGAGGTCAAAAGAACATCCTATCATGTAAATGAATTGTAAACACAGTATTCATCTCTCTTTGACATGTACTGTGAATGGTGGAGGAACAAGCAAATGGCCTTATGTTAATTGGGATAGCTAAGTACAGGTGATAGACCTCCTTCAAAGGCATCCTAATTACTTTTGTTCCCTGAGGAATTCCAACTCCACAAAAGACATGAAATTGTATAAAGGCTCCTTGGGTCCTGATTCTGTCATCTCAGATCTGCTGAGTCTTCATCAGGGGAAGTTTGAGTCGCAAGACTGAGGTTCCAGTTACGCTGGTATGTCCTGGTGTGAGATTTGGACATTGGACTCTGACCTATGAACTGAATTTGAAAGGAACTCTTTGCAACTACAAAGCTCAGCATCTCTGCTGTGAATCTGAACCTCAATGGACTGAACTCATGTCTGTATGTATATTGATCTTTTAACCATACTTCCTCTCTCTTTTGTTGATAATGTCCCTGTGCACATTTGCTTCTCAGTACCTACCAGCAGTTTCTGGCTTTTCCTTTCCCCTTTCACTTTAAATGACAGAATGTTTTCTCTCTCTTTCTTCAAAATCTCCAAACAGCTCTGAATTTGGTCCTAAAAAAAGAAAAAGTGATTTAGTTTTGGTGCTTTTGGAGGGTTTTCCCACATTTTTTTATATTTTCAAGAATATTAAATAAATAATAAAATGGGTGAGTGCTCTAACCACCTGGCTAGACAGTCATTCTCATGCATCTGGTCTCTCTCTCTCTGGTCCAAATGACTTTTTATCCCCAGTGGAATAGCTTTGACAGAGGAGATGGAGGGAGCCCCACATCACAATATCCCATAGTCCATGGTTAGGGCACTCACCTGAGAGTCAGCTGTTCCCTGTTTGAATCCCTTCTCATCAGGTGGAGGAGGGACTTGAACTAGTGTTTCCTACATAGCAGGTGAGTACCCTAACCCTGTGGCTAAAAGTTAGAAGGGCGAGCCTGATCCAGTAGGTGTGCTCAGAGGCCACCTGCCAGGTCAGACCCCACACTCTAGTTAGGCAGCCAAACGCCTGTCTTCCTCCAGTCTATGAATCACTCTGGGGCTTAAGTCAGAAATAGGCATCTGGATACTTAGAAAGAGACAGCAGTATGCATGTCCAGCGCATAGGCATGGTGATGGTGTAAAAGCTGGAACGAGCCAGTAAGGTCCAGAATGGCATTTTAATCAATACAATTGTTGCAAAAACCGGCAGGTACTGTTACAGACAGTTAAGAGAACATACTCATAACAAATTGTGATTACCCTGGTGTCATAAATATAAAGGGAAGGGTAACCACCTTTCTGTATACAGTGCTATAAAATCCCTCCTGGCCAGAGGCAAAACCCTTTCACCTGTAAAGGGTTAAGGAGCAAACGTAACCTCGCTGGCACCTGACCCAAAATGACCAATGAAGGGACAAGATACTTTCAAATCTGGACGGGGGGGGAAACAAAGGGTTCTCTCTGTCTGTGTGATGCTTTTGCCGGGAAGAGATCAGGAATGCAGCCGTACAACTCCTGTAAAGTTAGTAAGTAATCTAGCTAGAGAATGCATTAGATTTTCTTTTGTTTCATGGCTGGTAAAATAAGCTGTGCTGGAGGGAATGTATATTCCTGTTTTTGTGTCTTTTTGTAACTTAAGGTTTTGCCTAGAGGGATTCTCTATGTTTTGAATCTGATTACCCTGTAAGGTATTTATCATCCTGATTTTACAGAGGTGATTCTTTTACCTTTTCTTTAATTAAAATTCTTCTTTTAAGAACCTGACTGATTTTTCAGGTTTCAGAGTAACAGCCGTGTTAGTCTGTATTCGCAAAAAGAAAAGGAGTACTTGTGGCACCTTAGAGGCTAACCAATTTATCTGAGCATAAGCTTTTGTGAGCTACAGCTCACTTCATCGGATGCATACTGTGGAAAGTGTAGAAGATCTTTTTATATACACACAAAGCATGAAAAAATACCTCCCCCCACCGCACTCTCCTGCTGGTAATAGCTTATCTAAAGTGATCACTCTCCTTACAATGTTTATGATAATCAAGGTGGGCCATTTCCAGCACAAATCCAGGGTTTAACAAGAACGTCTGGGGGGCGGGGGGGTAGGAAAAAACAAGGGGAAATAGGTTACCTTGCATAATGACTTAGCCACTCCCAGTCTCTATTCAAGCCTAAGTTAATTGTATCCAATTTGCAAATGAATTCCAATTCAACAGTTTCTCGCTGGAGTCTGGATTTGAAGTTTTTTTGTTGTAATATAGCAACTTTCATGTCTGTAATCGCGTGACCAGAGAGATTGAAGTGTTCTCCGACTGGCTTATGAATGTTATAATTCTTGACATCTGATTTGTGTCCATGTATTCTTTTCCGTAGAGACTGTCCAGTTTGACCAATGTACATGGCAGAGGGGCATTGCTGGCACATGATGGCATATATCACATTGGTGGATGTGCAGGTGAACGAGCCTCTGATAGTGTGGCTGATGTTATTAGGCCCTGTGATGGTGTCCCCTGAGTAGATATGTGGGCACAGTTGGCAACGGGCTTTGTTGCAAGGATAGGTTCCTGGGTTAGTGGTTCTGTTGTGTGATATGTGGTTGCTGGTGAGTATTTGCTTCAGGTTGGGGGGCTGTCTGTAGGCAAGGACTGGCCTGTCTCCCAAGATTTGTGAGAGTGTTGGGTCATCCTTCAGGATAGCTTGTAGATCCTTAATAATGCATTGGAGGGGTTTTAGTTGGGGGCTGAAGGTGACGGCTAGTGGCGTTCTGTTATTTTCTTTGTTGGGCCTGTCCTGTAGTAGGTGACTTCTGGGAACTCTTCTGGCTCTATCAATCTGTTTCTTCACTTCTGCAGGTGGGTATTGTAGTTGTAAGAATGCCTGATAGAGATCTTGCAGGTGTTTGTCTCTGTCTGAGGGGTTGGAGCAAATGTGGTTGTATCGCAGAGCACTGTTCTTAAGATCCAAGGGTTTGGGTCTGTGTTCACCTGTACCAATTGGTGAGGATTATTATCAAACCTTCCCCAGGAAAGGGGTGTAGGGCTTGGGGGGATATTTTGAGGAAAGACGTCTCCAAGTGGTCTCTTTCCCTGTTCTTTATTTAAAATGCTTGGTGGTGGAAGCGTACTGTTCAAGGACAAGGCAAAGTTTGTACCTTGGGAAAGTTTTTAACCTAAACTGGTAAGAATAAGCTTAGGGAGTCTTTCATGCTGGTCCCCACATCTGTACCCTAGAGTTCAGAGTGGGGAAGGAACCTTGACACCTGTTTTGGCCCAGAACCATATTTTAAACACCAAAAAACACTTTGAGGACAATATCTTACCAATGAGAACTGCCGACTAGCACACTGTTATCAACCCATTCCATCCCAGAACCATTTTTAAATGCCAAATAGGACCTGGAACACACGGTTCCTCAGTGACCCAGAGGATTAAATGTATACATCTAGCATATTACCTTGAGGACAATATTTTAGGAATGAGAGCCGATTAGTAGCACATGCTTATTAACTCATTCCAGCCCAGAACCACTTTTTAACACTGTCAAAAGTTGTGGAGCAGAAATATTTAGGCCTATCTAAAAATTACCAGTGAAAAATAAGAGACTCTAAGGTCTCACCTCCAGATATGAGAGTGACTCTTCTCAAAAATACAGAATAAAAAATAACATGAAAAACAGACAAGCAGAATCAGTCACAATGACTTATGTGGTGAGTATGACTTTCACTGTGCCCTGGAAGGGTTTGTATGTCAGTACACCCAGGTCCCTGAAAATCTCTGTAAATTGGACCTTCCAGAAGTTACTGGTATTTTTAAAGAGGTGACAATATTGAAGCCAACCACACTTGTTCATATGCCACGTTTCAGCTCGGAGACTTTTACTCTCCCCCTTCGTGTGCCTTTTTTGGAGGAAAATCCAGCAGTTTCTGTGGCTACGCTGATCCATGACAAGTACACAACACATGCACACGAGATTACGGTTGCCAACCTTCCAGGATTAATTAAAGATTAGGTTATGAATACTTCCAACCAAAATTGGCAACTACATAAAAGATGTAGTTTTAATTTCATGCAAAATATGTGTCCCAGGTCAGCAGCAGTTCCACTGTAATAGTTCTGTGCTATATGTATAAATTTCAGCCCCGAGCCAATTTGGAACTGACTTTTCTGAGTCCTTATTGGTGTTAAAAATGGTTTGGGTCCAGAAGTGGTTAATAACAGTGTGTTATAAGTCTGTTCTCATTGCTAAAATATTGTTCTTAAGGGTCTCTAACAGTATCTGCTCTTTTTTGCAATAAATTTTTTATTTAAAATGCAGTTCCTGGCTATTCCAGGTTTTACACCGTCCCGTGATTCCTTACCTTGTAATCCTCGGCAGCCTCCTCTATGGGAACCACAGTGTGTTCTTTGTGATCTCGGGACAGATGGCAAACCATACAAATGGGTGTTTCATCCTCTTGGCAGAAGACATCTAAAGCCCTCTTGTGTATTTCACACACTCTCTCAACTTCTGGTTCTTTTGTTGACTTCACTGTAAACATTCTGGAAGCTTCTACAATATTCCTTAGCTGTCTGTTTGGTTTAAAGTTTCTCTGGGAGAAGGTTCTTCTGCACTCAGGACACCAGAAGTTTACACGCAATCCCTCCCAGCACTGAGCGATGCAGGCTTGGCAGAAATTGTGCCCACAATCTAGAGACACTGGATCTTTAAAATAATCTAGACACACTGAACAAGTCACTTCACCTTGAAGAATTTTTGCTGGATTTGCAGCAGCCATGGCTGCTTCTGCAGAGAAGAGAGGAATTTAGTTTCCTTTTACTGTTCTCAGAAATGGGCTGATTCTGAACTTTGCACACCAGACAGGCGTTTTCTAAGTCCAGAAACACCTTGTGGTCTCAGCTGGGAAAGGGAGGCTCTACCATGAAAGACTGTGGAGTGACAGCACCGGACGCTGTTGGTCCCTGCAATGGTGCAGCAGGGCCACCCTGCAGAACAGTTGTTGGAAAACAGCACCTGCCACATCCACACCCAGCTCTATACAGCATTTCTTCCCGCCGTCGCTGGGTCACTGTGTTGTGGGACTCCGGAGGTACCTACAGCCTAGCTCATGGCAGAGCTCTCTGCAGCAGGTGGTTCTGGGAAAAAGCACTGTGGTCTTTCAGTTTTTAGAGAGGGAACATCCTAGAGTCATACGCCCCCCTGAAAAATACCAATAACTGTGGCAGTGACCATCTTTTATTCTGCTTAATGTTTGCCCTCTGTGATTGATACAATAATATCTAAATAGTGTCTTCTAAGCCATGTTCTCACAGGTCATCAGGGTACATACACATGATCTGTGACAGAGGAAGAGCGAAAACAGGTGGCTGGAATAATGGCGGCCTGAGTCACTGCCTGATTCTCATCAACTGCAGCATGAAAACATTTTGATATCTTGAGCCAAGGGCTTTGCGTGGGGCACAGCTGGGCTTCTTCGCCTCCAGCTAACTTCTACAAAGTCCTGATCGGCAAAGTTATTCCAAGTGACAAAAAGGGCTGGTGGATCTGTGTTGCTTCCAGTGACATATGAAATCAAGTAGTTTTCATTGCGAAGGGGGTTTTAACCCATTTCTCAGAAAATAACCTGCAGATTCAGACCAAATTTTCAGATTCCAGAGCGGTGGACTTATCTTTGGGGGACAAACACTGTCAGTAAGAGCCACTGTCCCTTGCCAAGGAAGTGGAAGTTCCTATGGCTCTTTGGGTTATAATCCGTGAGTTAGACTCTAATAAAATCCAACTGGGAGACATTCGGACTATTATCAGAAGAGATTTAGGGCAAGAAAGCGACGAATAGGCCCTTACTAAAGAAATCATTTTTGACAGTAAAAATCTTCTCAGTTATTGTCCTGTCTATTATCTCCTTTTTAAGGGAAAGTTCATCAAGAATCTTTTGTCAAGGTCACTCTAGTGCTAGTTGGGGGGAACCTCAGATTTCCTTGACTCCTGTCAGTGTGGTTGTTAGCCAGCGTTTAGTACACAGACTACATTGCTAAAGGACCCTCTCCAGATCAGGGTGAAGATCAAGTCAATCATGCTGTCAGAAGTCTTTGATATACTGACTATGGTGAATTGTAACTTACAGTGCTACACTTGAGTGGCTTTGTCCTTTTCTTTCCAGGAGGATCCCATGGGTAGTGCTTTGCAATTTTCTGTCTGCCCTGAGGACGTTTTCATGCAGGCTGCCACAAGCTTCTATTCTCAAGTTAAGGAGAAAGGTCTCTGAGCTGCTTTTCCAAATTTTAAAACAAGACATTCAATTGTGCACTTTGTGTTGGGAGGTTTCATTTTGAGGATAAAGCAAATATGATAAGTAAACATCATAGTGCGTGGCAAGAGTTCATGGGCATAATAATTTAATCCAACCTTATCACTGCTAATCTGAAGGCTAAAGTCCAGCCCAGCCCTATTCTTGGAGAAGGGTGACTCTATAATTTATGGGAAATTACAAAACAGCTTTAGGAAGTCCTGTATTGCGATTGGCCATTAGACATCATGTTGTGACATACATTGCAACCTCACGCAGTATCTTTGGTGACCACTGTATTACATTGATGAAAGGTTTATGTATGATTGTGTCTTCCTCCCTGGGGGAGGGTACCACAAGTCCTCCAGGAACTCGAAAGGGTGTGTGGGTGGGAGAGGGATTAAGGGGAGTCACTGAATACTGTAAACAGCCCCCAGAGGTACCAGCTGCTTCAGGTCTCCGCTCCTGTGATACGGCCACACGGCCTCCCCTTTCACACACACCCCACACCCTGCGCAGCCAGCAGAAAGGGGTGTCAAAGCTTTAACTGAATGAGGGAGGTAGAGAGTGTTCAACAACTCAACCTTCTTCAGAATACGCTGCGTCAGGGCCCTCATGGCCACCCATGTTTTAACACAAGTGTAGTAGCCTGGGGCAGGCACAGATTGGCAGAGGAAGTGTCTTCCCAGTGCGGGGCTGAGGTGGGCCTTAGCCCCCCTCGCCACGGGGCCCCGCCCCATCCTCCTCCTCTCCCCCCGAGGACACACCCCCAGTCAGGCCTGAAGCTGGCCATGGTAAGAGCCCAGGGGGGCCATTTCAGATTTTGGTAGGGGGGCAACTTTACTGTGATTCCAGGAGCTACTTAGGCACCTGAAAACTACAGAGGTTTTTTTGCAGATTATTACTTAGAAATTAGCTGACAGGACACCGTATCTAATTCCTATTAGGGCTGTCGATTAACTGCCGTTAATGCCTGCGATTAATGCACAGCACAATTAACGCGTTACATTTTTGAGTGCACATTCATCACAGACCCTCTGGGCAGGAAGGAGTACTGACGCCGGGCCCAGAGTCGGAAGGGGCCCCGGCCAGCCCGATCCCCTGGCCGGCTAAGCTGCCTCCACCCCTGCCCGGCCTCGTCCCCAAAGCCCCGCCCCTTCTCTGCCCCAGCCCCGCCTCTTCCCCAAAGCCCCGCCCCTGCTCTGCCCCCCACCCCGCCTCTTCCCACCCCTGCTCCTCCCCAGCCCTTCCCCCGCTCCCCTGAGGACTCCAGCAGCAGTCGGGTCTGCACTCACCGGCGGTGTGAAGTAGAGCGACCCGGCCCCAGCCAGCTGTGCACCGCCGGCGAGTGCTGGGGGGTGGTTCCCCCTTGCCCCCCAGTCCCGAGTCCAGAGCGGGCTGGGGCCAGGTCACTCCAGTTCCCGCTGCCCCGTGAGTGCAGGGTCAGGCCTGCCCTGCAATCACCAGGCGGCAGGAAGTGGAGTGACATATGGAGTGACAAATGGAGTGACAAATATCCCTCTCGGGTCCATTTACTGCGGGACTTTAATAAGGCGAACAGGAGAACACAAGCAGTTTGCCCACACGGGGACAATTCATTATTCTAGAAAATATATTAACACATTAAAACTAACGCAATGGTAAACATGACTTCGGTGCTTTTGAAAATCCCACCTGCAGTTACTTAGCAGCACGAGTTCCACTGGAAATCAACGAGTCTGACGTCGCTTCGGTTCCTTTGAAAATTCCAGCCTTCGCACCCCGTACACACGCTAACAGTTGTATTTAAATATATATCAGCGGGTTGTGGCCAAATAACGATCAGCTAACAGGATTTGAAACACCCCCATTTCCCCCCACCCCGACTCTTCAGCCAGGCATCCCCCCCTGCTTTCCCCCCCCCCCGCCTCCCCCCCCAGTTGAGGGGTCTCTCCCTGGCCCTCGGCTGGGTCCCTCCCACAGGGGTCCCTCCCACAGGGGGCCCCCACACCGAGTTGGCCTCCTAGGAGCATACAGCCCCAGCCTAGAGCGCCTCACACAGACCTCCACAGCCATAGAGCTACGGGGAGAGCGTCACCCCCCTTCAGCCCTGTCTGTGCGGGGGGAGGACTGGCGGAGTCCTCCAGGTCATAGAGATCAGGAGGGTGGGGGCTAGAGAAGCCCGTTTCACGGGGCCGGACAGGGCACCTCGGGGACACAGTGTGAGCCGCAAACTAAGCGCATTGTCCCAGGAGAGAGGAAAAGGAAATGAAAAGCAACGGACCAGAGAAGAGCGGGCGGATTCTCTCCCCGGCGAAAGAGGCCGGCGGGAAAGTGACGATCGGGTCCCCGTTGCCAGCATCGAAAAACGCCACCCGCCCCTCTTCATAGTCCAGATAAACCCGGATCCTGCGGGGTCCCCGGCTCGGGGAGAAGGGGGTGAGATCATCAGGGGACGTGAGAGCCCAGTACCGATCCTCACTGCACAGCACAGCCCAGATCCCCCGCTCAGGGTTAAAATCGATATCTCCCTTCCTGCTCACAGACTCTCTGACCACCCCCACAATACAGACTTCGCCTTCCTTTAGCTCTATCTCCCAGTAATGTCGGCCCGAGGTGAATCCCTCACAGCCCAGCACACAGAGCTCAGTGTCAAATCTCCCAGGGTTGTTGGGCAGATCCTGCCACGTGTCTCCCCTTCTCACACTTTTCCGATCAGCAGACACGATGAGTTGGGGATGGGCCGTGTCTGGATCCAGAGTCACGTTCACTGCAGAGAGAGAATCAGAGGGTGAGGGGCAGAGCTCAGCCCTGGGGCAGGGTCTGATCGTGTCAGTGACAGAACCTGCCCCAGGTGGGGGGTGAATCAGAGAAGCTCCCCCCTCCAGAATTTACCCAGCTCTGCAAAGGGAGCAGCGCTGAGATCTCAGCCATGTGCAGGGGGGATTCACACCCCTGACAGAGCCAGTTCAGTGACAGAGTGAAAGGATCAGCTCAGCTCAGCCAGGCTCCCAGACCCAGAGTCTGATTCTCAGTTATTCCATCCGTGTGCTTGGGGGAAAGACAAGGGGGGTTAGAGGGAGGTGGTTTTAAGACACGTTTGTCCTTCCTTTAGTCTCCCTGGCCCCTAGTTACAGGGGCCTCAGCGTTGCAAAGCAGAGTGCAGCCATAGTGTGATGCATCCTGTCTATGCCCCCACCAGAGCCGACCCTTGGGTAGGGTGAATCGGGCTGACCACTCTGGGCCCCACGCTTTAGGGGGCGCTGCAAGCAGGTGCAGTCAGTCGCAGAAGAAACGAATCTGTCACTTCAGCCCCGGACCCCACACCCCCCTAGGGATGGCCCTGGCCCCCAGCATGGCCCCCCAACCCAGCCCCCCAACCCACTCCTACAATAACGGCTGGGAGCAGACTTGCTGTAGAGCCCTTATGACAACTTCACACGGACGGGGGTGGCTCCCTTGCACAGAAGCTATTTTCTGGGGACTGTTTCCATGCATATTAAGGCCTCTTTGCTCTGACAGAGCCGCATAAAAGGGCCTGACAATCTTTCCCCATCTGCACCCACCTCTCCCCACGGATGTGATTAGAGATCCTGGCATCATAGGAGGCTCCCAGCAGATTACAGGGAATCCAAAGTCCTCCTGTATAAAACTGCTTTTTTAGAGACATCACTGGCCCCCCATGACTCTGTGTAGCTGCGGTGTGGTTGAGGACACCGCACACTTACTGAATGGCTGCTTGTCTTATGCTGGTCTACCAGGGGGACTTTCCAAACTCCACACTGATGGCCCCAAGGCTATACAATGGCTAATACAGTAATGCCAACTTCAAGAGATCAAATCTCATGAGATTGGCCCAAAAATTGTGACTTTTTAAAAAAGGACTATATTGTGATTTTTAGGTCAGTCTCTTGAGTTTGAACTCCCCTGGCCCCTCCCCAGGGCGTGCACATGTGACAATCAGTGTTGCCCACTCTCCCACATGTACAGGATAAGGTGATTTTGGCTCCTGCTGAAGGAGCTCTCACCCCCACATCTGCCCATCTCCTGACCAGCAATTAATCCTGTCCCTCAGGCCCCCGTCAGTTCTGTCCCCACCCAAACCCCCTCAATTCAGTCCCCCAAGCCCCATCATCACTGCCCCATCATCACCGCCCCATCAGTTCAGCACCCCTACCCCACTGCCCTTATTTCACCCTCCCAGCACTCACCCTATCTGCTCAGAACCCACCATCGATACAGACCGCCCAGCCCCCTGCTCACTTCAGGCCCCCTACAGCTCCCAGGCCATAATAAAGCCCACCCAGCCTCACCTCTGCTCCTTCTAGGGTTCTTCATCCTCCCTACGCCTGGGGGCTACCGTGAGGTCTCCTCACCCACTTCCCAGGCTGGCAGGGAAGGAGCCGCACCGGGGTGGCTGACAGCGGGAGCCCCAGCCACACCCAGGGCAGCTGACAGGATTTCGAAGTAAAATTAAACCTCGTGTTTAGAACTCTCAAATGTCGGGATATTTTTTCAGCCACAGCTCTAGCGCGAGATCATGAGTGAGTCTTAATTCTAAATTATCATAGAGAAAAGAATCGACTTTTCTGTTTTTAGGAAAGATCTGGGCAGCCACCAGTAATAACGGTGTTCAGCTCCTGTCAAATGCAAACTTGAAACAAAACCTGAACGACAGTGCTGCCAATGAGCCACCATGATTCATATGAAAGTTTTCACTCCCCCTTTGGTTCCAGAAATTTACCTTTGTCCAACCGCTGTCTAGACGACAGAGAGTCTAGAGGAAGAAAAGGGTGAAAAAGATTGAATGTCATATTCACACTGTCCATTCTCTAACACAAAAGCCAAATGAAAAGAAAACAAACTTTATGAAGTTTTAGTTAAGGAGGTTAAGTGCAATTCAGACCAATACAAACCATTACACACTCACTGAAAAATAACCACAAACATGAAAACAAAGCACGTGACCTAAGGTTACATGACATACCCAGAGATGTTTTACACAGCAATTAAACACCTGTGGCTGGCCCATGACAGCTGACTTGGGCTCAGGCAATGGGGCTGTTTAATTGCAGAGTGGATGCTCGGGCCTGGGCAGAAGTCTGGGCTGTGGGACCCTGTGACGGGAGAGGGTCACAGAGTCTAGGCTCCAGCCCGAGCCCGAACCTTGTGAGCCTGAGTCATCGGACACGGGCGAGCCACAGGTGTTTAATTGCTGTGCAGACAAACCCTCTGAAACCAACACATAATTCACAGACAGACCAATACACAGAAACCTTTTCCCTGATTAGCATTCAATCAACTTTAAATCTGCCCCTGTATCATTATTACTTGATAAAATTGGCTCTTCCTTCCTGACAGACCTTGTGGTCTCATTCTCTCCAGCTCTGGAGGATAAAAGGTGGAGAATCTCTAAATCAGGGGTGGGCAACGTACGGCCCGTGGCCCAGATCTGGCATGTTGCTAAATTTCATCGGCCTGCAGCACCAACGCCCCCCTCCCCCGGTAGGGTTGGAGCCGCGAGTGCAGACTGGCCCCGACATGGGGTGGAAGCCCCAAGCCTCTGCGCAGAGCCACGGGACTAGGCGTGCAGAGGGTGCTGCAGCACCCCCAGGTTTTGCGTGGGGGTTCCATGCCCAGGGTACCGGATGGCTGCCAGACCCCCACCTGGGGCTCTGCTCCCACCCCCAGCTGTGGTCCCAGCCTCAGCCGGTCCGCATCCCGCCTCCCCCGCGAGGTCACAGCCCAGTCTTGGCATCAGCTCTGGGCTGAGGGGGCACAGACATGGGTAAGGGTGTACACCACGTAAAAAGTTTGGGACCACTGGCTTTCAGCACCCCCATTGTTCCATCGCTACTGCTTCCGCACCCACCGTGGGGCTAGAGCCGCGAGCACCGGCTTGGCCTGCTGCAGGGGGGACGTCCCAAGCCTCTCTGTCCCCCCGCAGGGGAGTGGCCTTGGATTGATTTTTTTCTGTGGGTCAACGGCCCATGATAGAAAAAAGGTTCCCCAGCCCTGGTCTAAAGCAAGAGAGGGACTGTGAGGACACAGGAGGCCTTGCAGACAAAAATTCCAAACAAACATACTTCAGAAACAGTTAATTCAGCAGGAAGCTCAAGTGAAGGTTAACGTTCATAGCTGCTAAGAAAGGAAAACCCGCAGGGAGTCCGAATGTAGGACCCTAACCCAGTGTGTCTGTGCCGTATTGAGAGCTGAGTAGGGAATTCATAGGTTCCAAATGATTAGTTGACTATCTCCATCCACAGTTATTTTCCCTCAGACATTTCCCCAGCTCTGTCAATTATCAGTGTAATATATGTGAGAAAATTCCCCAGGTGACTGTTTATTACCTTTGAATTTCTTCATTATGGTCTCCAGAGACGCAGTTCTTTGAGAAGATTCCCAGCTTCTCCATTTCAGGTCCGAAGAAAAGGCCACTGGGTTCTGAAACTTCTCCCTCTCACATCTGAAGAACAACCCAGTGTTACTCCTTGTGGAGTCCGTTCATATTTGTGTTTTACTAAAATGTATTTTATTCTAGTGAATGGTTGTAGCTCAGCCGACCGTGGAGGATTAAATTCTCTATGGCCTCAGGAATAGGTCCAATACCAGCTTTGACACTACAAGCTTCCCCTTCATTTTGGTGAGACCGACATTGGAAAACTGCATCCAGGTCTGGTGTCCCCATTTTAAAATGGACGTTGAAAAAGTGGAGACGGTGCAGAGAAGACCCACAAAAATGATTTGAGGGCTGGTAAAAAGGTCTTGCCCTGAGAGCACCCTGGCACTTGAGTGTGGGGTACAAATACCGTCATCGGGAGAACAGACTTGGTACTAAAGGGCTCCTCAGTTTAGCCAACAAAGGCATAACAAGGACCAATTGCTGGAAGATGAAACCAGAGAAATTCAAATGGGAAATAAAGCAGACATTTTTAAGAGTGTGGGTGGATTAACCTTGGAAGAAACTGCCAAGGGAAGTGGTGGATTCTCCATCTCTTGACAGGGGCGCCAGAACAGGGGGCCATGGCCCCATCACTTTTACAAGTGGGAGAGCTCTGCTTTCTCCCCTTTTTACCTGCCTTAAAGGCAAGTGATGGGGGCAGGGGGTGAAGAGGAGCGAGCAGGGGGCAGGGCTTTGGGGGAAGAGGTACATCAGGGGTGGGGCCATGGTTTGGGCACCGGTGGCCCCCCCCTCCCCACTTCTAGGGAGCTTCAGGCGTTACTGTCTGTTGATGTCTTCAAATCTAGACTGAATGGCTTTGTGGAAGGTGCTTTAATCAACACACGTTGGGATTTAGTCAAATACAAGTTACTGGGCTGAACACAGGAATAACTGAGGGAAATTTAAGCACCTGTGATAAATAGGCACCGGCTCTGTGGGTGCTCCAGGGCTAGAGCACCCACGAATAAATAAACAGTGGGTGCTCAGCACCCACTGGCATCCCCACAGATCAGCTCTTCCCCCTGCCTCCCAGCGCCTCCTGGCCGCTGCTGAACAGCTGATCCCCAGGGGATCGGAGGCGCTGGGGGTACAGGGGGTGCAGCAAGTTCAGGAAGAGGCGGGACAGGGCCTTGGGGGAAGGGGTGGAGTGGGGGCAGGGTCTGGGGCCAAGCAGAGGTCGAACACCCCCAGGGGAATGAGAAAAATCGAAGCCTGTGCTGTGATATACAGGAGGTCAAACGTGATGATCTTACGGTCCTTTCTGGCCTTCAACTCTATGCATCTATGAAACTCAGTAATACCATGTGGCAATGGGTTCCACAGGTTAATAATGAATTGTGTTTTAAAAAAAAGTATTTCCTTTTCTCAGCTTTACACTAGTTGCCTTTCTGTTACACTGAGCATCCCCTTGGTCTTGTATTGTGAGTGTGGGAAGCAGGATCCCCTGACATATCCTGTACACTATTTAAGGGAGATAATTAGTGACAATCCTTGTGGTGATGTAGACACCTATTGTACCAGCACCTGGAGTGAGATCCACTTATCCATTTCAAAGATAATTTATGTTCTTATTTAGCTCTTTGGATACGTACAATGGTCAGACCACTAGCACAGGGGTTCTCAGCTTACAAAGGCTAGTGTGTGTCCACTCCACACTTGAGGGAGTGGCAAACTACTTAATGACCTTGCACTGCCCAAGGGAGCAGAGGTGGGGTGTTTTTTTCCGCAGTACAGCTGCCTAGCCAGTAATTCCCATTTCGTAGTTGTACATTTGATCTTTCCTTCCAAAGTGCAGCAGTTTGTTTTTATTGAATGTCCCCTGAAATTGATGTTAATCCTTCCTCCCTCCGCCCTTTGTCTCTTGCATCTCTTTAGACCATAAACTCCTTGGGGCAGGGACTGTCTCTTACTACGTGTCTGTGCAGCGCCCCGCATTTTGGGCCCTGATTTTGCCTTGAGCCTCTAGAGACTGCTACTGATAATAGCACATTACAAAGTCTTTAGAGCAGGGAATGTCTTTTCCATCGTATCTGTTGCCACGCCAAGCCCACTGATTGAACTCACGGCCTAATAAGAAACAATTAATAAACAGCTCATTGAATAGTCAGCAGCTGGCTCTGACTTTCCACCCCTACCAACCTAGGTGGAGTTTGGAGTCTATGACCTCGAAATGAAAAATGCATTCTCCATCCCCAATCCCCCGAGTTCTCCATTCCACCAGCTACACTATAAATAACAACCTTGCTTGTAGGTAAATAACTTCTCAAGCTGGTCTATTCTGGAGTCTAGTTAAAATGACAAGAGCCCCAAGATTAGATTTAACGGAGAGAGATTGGGAACCACCCCCACACTCTGCACTGCTGGGCCACGGTCTCATGTTGAAAATCAAGTCTCTGCCTTGTGAGGTGAAAGGGACAGTGAGAAGGAGCCACCTACTTGCTCAAGGTGCCTTTGATGTCCTAGAGGAGAAAGATAAAAGGAAATTCAGTCCCATATCTCAAACTAAGTATCCCTCCTGCTCTGGAGGGACTCACTTTGGCTTCACAGTGTGAGGTTCAAAGTGAAATTATTTGTTATTTATTAATGCAAACAAAACCATTAAATGTGTTGCCTTTGCTCTTTTGGCTAAGTGCTCTGACTGCAGGATCCAGGCCCAAGGAAGTTTGTTTGTAGAGGCACACTAGCTCTTTGGGTAATGACATTTGGACAACCAGCAGGCACATGAAATCTCCCTAACACTCAAAGGTTTGGGGAAGATCCCCTCCTGCAGACTCCAGTGGGGCCAGAGGGAGGGACGCCCCCAGGCTGTGCTGCCCCCATGCTGTAAACTTTCTCCCCACTTGCCCACAAGATGTTCTGAAGGCCCGGCCTGTGGACTTCTTGAAGGCTGGGTGAGAACAATGAGTGTGGGGTACAGAGTAACACAGGGCCATTCGCTATCCTAAGGCCCAGGATCAATGCAGGAAACCTGAGGAGTGAAGAAAGCTGCCCCCAGCATTTGGCCCTAGATAGCAGCTACAGTTTTCCTCTTTTCTTGATTTTAAGTGTCAAAAAATGCCTCTAAATAGCATTAGAAGGCTTTTGGAATTCTAACAACTACTTACACTTTCAGGGTACCATAAGTAATGAACAGCTTCCCTCACTAACTTCAGTTGTGGCAGAAAAAAAAACACACATCACCATAGCCTCAGACCTCATGTATCAATTTTAAGGCCAATATTTTCCCTTTTATGGCATATGTAGGAAGAGTGGCCAAATCAGGCATAAAATGGAAACTCTGCTTCAATCTTAGCTATTTCCATAATTAAGGACAGGTTCCATCTTTTGGAGTTAGTGTTTGGAACGCAGGAATTGCTTGACTGGCTCAGACTGTAGGTCCATCTAATCAGTATTCTGTCTCCAAAGGTGGACAGTGCCAGATGCTTCAGAGAAAGGTGTAAGATAATCTGCCTCCCGCATTCTCATCCTTCTCTCTAATAGTTAGTGATTGGATGAAGCAACAAAGCATGGAGGTTTAATATCACTCTGCATATTCTTATTATCCATATAAATATCTGATCACTTTTTGAGTTTTGCTAAATGCTTGGTCTCAACGACATCCAGTGGCAATGAGTTCCACAGTCTAATTACGTGCTGTGTGAAAAAGTGTTCATTGGATCAATTTTGAATTTGTCACCTTCTAATTTTATTGAAGGTCTCTTTGTTCTTGCATTAAGAGACAGGGAGAACAGAGTTTGGAGTTAACCATTTTTGGAGGAGTCTTCACCCACTTGAATTCAAAAGAAGAATTTCTTTTCATTTAGGGCTCAGTCCAACACTCATACTCAAGAAGTATATTTCCATTGACTTTAATGGGCATTTGATCAAACCCATAAGGAAAAATAATGTATATTTTAGCAATACTATGTGTTCTGACCATTCACTCCTACACTCCAAAAGGAAGAGTTAGGAGACTTTCTTGCCCTGTGAAAGGTTCTGGGGTGTTTCTAACACGGTCTCACCTGCAGGAATTCACTTGCAGTCTGCTGGCACTTCTGCTCCATCTCACTGATCAGGTAATTGAAAGATGATATTTCCTCAGATAATTTGGCAACATACTCAGCCCTCCTCTTTTCAATTTCCTTATTCAGCTCTTCCAACTGGGCCAGGAGGAGTTGCTCTTGTTCCTCCAGAAACTGGCGCAATCGCTGAAATTCAGACACAATCTTCTGCTTCTCAGTTTCTAGCTGTTTCTGAAATGACGAGATACAAACAGGAAAAGCACAGGTCAAGAACAAGACTACGGAGTGAGTCATGGGACATTTTATAAAGCCATGGGACATTTTATGCACGTTGCAGCACGTCATTGCAACCCCACAGAAATTAACTTCTGACATTTTATGGAGAATATACTCTATGCTCAGTAGACAGAATATTTTCCAATAGATTTTCAAGAGTCTTAACTGGTGTTTAGAGTATGAATTTTTCTTGCATGATTCAGATATCTGCGATCTGTGATTCCAGAAAACAAGATCCTTCTAACAACAAGAAGCACAGCAGGTGTGGGATTTAGAACTGGACTGGCAAGGATTATTTTCGGAGAGCAAACAGTAGTGCTTCTTAGTTTGGGTTCTAGACTTGAACTGGGGAACGCATGCTGTTCCTAAAATACATTTGGACATAAAGGGCATTTAAAAAAAGGACTAACATTTGAGCGCCATCATTTGCTCTCAAGAGTTCTGAAAACAGATTTGGATACATAAAATTTGGCACACCATAAATCTTGGATTTTAAGCCACACAGGGACCTTGAGCACAAATTGGGCTGCTGGGAAGACCCCTTTTTGCACATGCAAATCTGAGTTTGCAGATTGCTTTGGAATGAGTGCATGTGAACTGGTCAGACGTCCACCAATTCATGCTGTTTCTGGAGCACTCTCTGGCCTCTGGTACCCTAGGAGCAAGGAAATCAGACCAGATTTGGAACCCAGATCTTCTTCATGGCAATGTCTAGCAGCGATATTAATAAGGGTCTGTTCCAAAGCTCACTGAACTGGCCCATAGTCTTTCCAAGGACTTCCTTGTGCTTTGTTTTAGGCCCTAAGTGAGCCTCCTCCTGTGGGGCAGCAGATTCCTAGAGCAGCTGCACTGACTGTCCAGCTGTGGTTATCTCTGTTGAAAGTACAGCTGGCCAAAACATTCCGGGGTGGGGAAATTCGCAAAAATAATTGACATTTCAAAGTGGTTTCCATTTGTCAGTTTTCAAAATGGAACTTCTTTTGATTTGTTTGAAAAATATCTTGAAATAACTTTTGAAAAATTTCACATTTTTGTTTCTCCCTTTTCCTGAAGTGGAACAAAATAATGTTTATTCCCCCCCCCACCCACCCCCATTTTTCTTTTTAGTACTTCCTTCCTGTACCTCTTCAAAAGAGCTCCCATTTTTGAAAAAGTGGCAAAAAGAAAAAGGAAAAAACAAAGGTAAAAAACCCCTGTACATTATTTTAGTGTACTCAGTAGAACGAAACAATGAAAGAGATAAAAAACAAAAGAAAGTTTTTTTAAAAACAAAATGAAAATTTTAGTTTGAATTGACACAAAAATGTTTGTTTCATTTTGAAATTTCCGGTCAAAAAAATTGAAAAAATGTCTTGCAAGTTGTTTTCTACTAAACCCCATTTATCCGCAGGGAGCTTTTTTTTGGTTGAAAATTTTCAACCAGCTTTAGTTGAAAGACTAAAGGAGAAAATACTGTTAATTAAACAAATTACATGGGAATTATCAGTGAAAATATTTGGATTATTAAAACTCTTTCTTTAATGCTGCATTTTCCTGCTGACTCTCAAAGCAGAAGAGTTTTTCTTTACAATGAGAATAAAGAAGGAATCACCTTTCACGGATGAGACTGTTACTCACTAGTCCTCTTACGACACTCAAACTAAGCAGTGTGTTGATAATGTCCCTGTGCACATTTGCTTCTGAGTAATAACGGCACCTACCAGCAGTTCCTGGCTTTTATTTTCCCCACTCAATTTAAATGACAAAATCTCGTCTCTCTCTTTCTTCAGAATCTCCAAACGGCTCCGAATTTGGTCCTAACAAAAGAAAAACTGGTTTAGTTTTGGTTGTTTTTGGAGGATTTCCCTCCATTTATTTATATTTGCAAGAATATCAAATACATAAATTAAATGGGAGAGTGCTCTAACCACTGTACAGTCAGTCATTCTCATGCTTGTGGTCTCTCTCTCTCTTTGGTCCAAATGATCAAGGGGTTAATTATTACTAAAACACTCTGATTGAAAGTAGCCCAGAGGATGAAAATGAGTTGTTTGCCTCCTACTGCATGGCTTTGGTTAAAAAGTCTGAGTCTCTCTTGCTCTCTTTTGCTTTGCAGCTGATTTGCTGCCTCTCTCGGTGTAAGCTCAAAAGCTTGTCTCACCAACAGAAGTTGGTCCAAAGATGTTATCTCACCCACCTTGTCTGTCTGCCCCCTGCAAGTCGATTTCCTTACTCTAATCTCACTCTTCCGTCACTGAACCCTGAAAGTGCTCACTCATAGGCCAGCTAAGATGTTACCACAGAAATGGTGTCAGGGAGCAGTCAGTGAAGGGGACAGTGTGGGTATTCCATGAGGGCTAATACATGGATTCTGAAGCAGGAAGAAAGCGAGTACCTGTGGGAACACCTGTTTTCACCCCATTTTCACCTCTGCAGTTTGGAGCCTTGACATTCCCCCCAGCACATAGCTCTCAATCGGTGTCGAGAATGCACAGAGCTGCTTAGAGGGTGTGAAAATCCCAGGTGTACGGTTGCATGGCACATAAGTCTGTTCAGAATAGGCGACTAACCTCCTAAGTCCCTATCATTGTTGCCAATCATTGAGTTGGTAGTGTGTGTTACTTAAATGCAATACATTATTCTACTTTAATCATCCTGCTCTAACATTGGTCACATCTTGACAATTGTCCAGTCAGTGGTGTGTCTCACCCGCAACTCTAATCTGATTTGCACAAAGCTTTGCAGAAGAAGATTTAACAAAACCTCAAAAACAAAAACAAAATTTGTTCACAGGTGCACAAATACAATAAAATAGATTGTTTATAACTACACAGACTGGAGGAAAAAAAGACTATATATATAGGGACCACTTTCATTGCAAAAGTACTGGATATTTTAAGAAAATCCTGTAAAGCACAAAATATCGACTCTTCCAGCTTCTAAGCCAAAAAAAAAAAAAAAAAACAGACAGCTGCTTGCATACAATTATGAAAGAAAAAGAGGACAAAAAAAAAGATGACCGGAGGTGTGATCAAGACAAATGGATCCACAGAGGAAGACATCTTTTCCCAACGGGGGATCTTCTGGCAAGGAAGAGATATTTCCGAAGGCTGACCAATACAGATGAGGTTGTGTGTCACAGATATGGATATAAAATTCTTGATGGAAATGTGGACAAAGTGATTGATCATTATTTGGGACAAGATGAAATACCTGACCAATGTGTGCCCTATAGGAATATGAGACAATATCCTTGGAGATGTCATGGTCATACATTTGACAGTACAGATGGCAGAGTTGTGGAGCAGAAACATTTAGGCCTCTCTAAAAATTGCCAGTGAAAAATAACAGACTCCAGTGCATCCGATGAAGTGAGCTGTAGCTCATGAAAGCTTATGCTCAAATAAATTGGTTAGTCTCTAAAGTGCTACTAATACTCCTTTTCTAATGTCTCAGCTGCACGTATGAGAGTGACTCTTCCCAAAAATACACAACAAAAAAAAAAAATTGTGTATGAAAAACAGAAAAAAAAAATCGAATCAGCCACAATGACTTATGTGGTATGACCTTCACTGTGCCCTGGAAGGCTTTGTGTATCAGTTCTGTCAGGTCCCTGAAATCCCTGTAAGTTTGGATCTTCCAGAAGCTATTGGTATTTTTTAAAGAGGTGATAATATTGAAGCTAACTACACTTCTTTCGTATGCCACATTTCAGCTCGGAGACTTTTACTTTCTCCCTTCGTGTGCCTTTTTTCAGGAAAATCCAGCAATTCCTGTGGCTGCACTGATTCATGACAAGTACACCACACATGCACACAAGAGGTTCTCATTTCTAGCAAAATATGCATCCCAGGTCAGCAGCAGTTCCATTTTAATAGTACTGTGCTAGATGGATAAATTTCAGCCCCTGGGCCAATGCAGAACTGACTTTTCTGAGTCCTTATTGGTGTTAAAAATGGTTTGGGGCCAGAACAGGTTAATAACAGCGTGTTATAAGTCTATTCTCATTGCTAAAGTATTGTTCATAAGGGTGTCTAACCATATCCGCATTTTTTGCCATAATTTTTTTATTAAAATGCCATTCCTGCTTTTACACCATCCTGTGATTTCTTACCTTGTAATCCTCAGCACCTTCCTCTTTGGGAACCGCAGAGTGTTCTCTGTGATCTCGGGACAGGTGGCAACCGGAGCAAATGGGTATTTGATCCTTTTGGCAGATGACTTTTAAATCCTCGTTGTGTTTTTCACACACTGTCCCAACTTCTGGTTCTTTTGTTGGCTCCAGTGTAAACATTCTGGAAGCTTCTACAATATTCCTTAGCTGTCTGTTTGGTTTGAAGTTTCTCTGGGAGAAGGTTTCTCTGCACTCAGGACAGTGGAAGTTTGTACTCAATGCCTCCCAGCGCTGAGTGATGCAGGCCTGGCAGAAATGGTGGCCACAGTCCAGACACACTGGATCTTTAAAATAATCTAGACACACTGAACAAGTCAGTTCACCTAGGAGCTGTTGTGCTGGATTCGCAGCAGCCATGGCTGCTTCTGCAGAGAAGAGACTAATTTAGTTTCGTTTTAGTGTTCTCAGAAATGGGCTGATTCTGAACTTTGCACACCAAACAGGTGTTTTCTATGTGTACATTGTCTCATGTTACTCTTGTGAGTCCGGAAACACCTTGTGGTTTCAGTTGGCAAAGGGAGGCTCTACCACGAAAGACTGTGGAGTGGCTGCACCGGACGCTGTGGATCCCTACAAGGGTGCAGCAGGGCCACCCTGCAGTACAGTTGTTGGAAAACAGCACCTGCCACATCCACACCCAGCTCTACACAGCATTTCTTCCCGCCATCGCTGGGTCGCTGTGTTGTGGGACTCCAGAGGTCCCTACAGCCTAGCTCATGGCACAGCTCTCTGCAGCAGGTGGTTCTGGGAAAATGTACAAAGTATTGTGGGCTGCCAGTGGTATTCCAGCCTTTAGAAGGGGAGGATCCTGGAGTCATGCCCCTCCCCGTCAACCCAATAACTGTGGCAGTGACCATCTTTTTTTCTGCTTAATATTTGCCCTCCGTGATGGATACAATAATTTCTAAATACCGTCTTCCGAGCCATGTTCTCACAGGTCAGCAGGGTATATACAGATGGTCTGTGACAGAGGAAGAGGGAAAACAGGTGGCTGGATTAATGGGGGCCGGAGTCACTGCCTGTTTCTCACCAACTGCAGCATGAAAACATTTTGCTATCTTGTTGTAGCGAAGCAAGACTCACTGCCGCGGTGCCTCCTGCTGGTCATCTTGGGAATTAGCTCTTCAGCCTCAGAGCACCCTCTGCTGATCGGTGGCTCGCCTGCCTTAGGCCCCCCGTGTCCCTCCCGGACCCCAGTGCCCCTTTACGTCAGGGTCCTGCCTCAGCAGTACTCCCACACTCTGGGTCTCCCCTCCCCAGAGAGCCCCCAACCCTATATACTCACCTTGCCTCAGTGGCGACTTCAACTCATCATCTAGCCCCTGGGGCAGACTGCAGTCTGTAATGGCCACTCATCACGGGCAAGGGGGTTGGACCAGCTGCCTTTATCCCTCCCTGGGCTGCACCTCTTGTACTTCTTAAGGCCTTAACCAAGGCCTCAGCCTGGGGAGTTGCCAGGCTGGAGCTCCCCAGCTCCTCTTGCCCTTTTCCCCAGCCCAGCTCTGCTTCAGGTACCTTGCTCCCAGGCAGCTAGGCTCTTCCCACTCCAGGGCTATAGTGAGACTCCTCTGTCTCTTGGCCCCACAGCCATAAATGCCAACTTTTCCTGGAGCTGGTGGGTGCTCACCCCCACACCCAGCCCCAGAGCACCCACAAAGTCAGCACCTATGCCCACAGCCCTTTTATCCAGGCCAGCTGTGGACCTGATTGAGCTGGCCACACCTGTGGTCAGCTACTCACTCAGCTGCCCTCACTGCTTCAATAAAACCCTGGTCTCCAGGAGTGGGGCAGCCACCCCACAACACTGGTGCCAAGGGCTTTGCATGAGGCACAGCTGGGCTTCTTAGCCTCCAGCTAACTTCTGCAAAGTCCTGATCGGCAAAGCTATTCCAAGGGACAAAAAGGGCTGGTGGATCTGTGTATGCAATCAAGTAGTTTTCACTGTGAGGGGTTTTTAACCCATTTCTCAGAAAATAACATGCAGACCAAATTATCAGACTCCAGAGTGGGGGGATTTATTTTGGAGGGACAAACACTGTCATCTCTGCTTGTGTACGAGCCACTGTCACTTGCCAAGGTAATAGAGGTATCTACGAAATCCAGCGGGGAGACATTGGGCCTCTAATCTGAAGAGATTTAGGGCAAGGAAATGACCATTAGGGCCTTACTAAAGAAATTATTTTGACAGTAAAAATCTTCTCTGTTGGTGCTTTGTCTATATTCTCCTTTTAAAGGGAAACTATGAAGAATTGTTTGTCAAGGTGTAGCGGGCTTAAAACAGCCCAGGAGAGGGCTGGGGCTGTGGGCTAGAAGCTGGGCTGATTGGGGAAGTAGCTGCAGCTGGGCCACGCCCTAATCAGGGCCCAGCTGGCCCTTATAAAGGCTGGGAGCCAGACACTCAGCCAGAGTCTCTCTAGTAGGAGAGAGAGGCTAGGTAGGTGGGTGAGCTCACCCAGGGGACCTAGAGTGAGGCAGGGCTGGGGAAAGGTCTCAGGAGTTGGAAAGCCCTAGGCCAGCAATTCCCCAGGCTGCAGGGCCTAGTCCCAGGCCTATATAGGTATTGGGGTTGCAGAGGGGCAGCCTGAGGGTGGGTAAAGGCAGCCAGTCCAAACCCCTTCTTGCCTGTGGTGATTGGCTTTTACACTGTAGTCTGCCCCAGGGTATGGGGGCTAGATGGTGGCTGGCAGTAGCCACAACTGAGGCAATGTGGGGATAATGGGTGAGGGTTCCCTGGGGTGGGGAGACCCAGGGAGTGGGGGTACTCCAGTGGGGCAGCACCCAAGACAAGGACACCAGGTCCTGGGAGGGACCGGGGGCCAGTGGTAAGGTGGATCACTGGCCTGCAGAGGGTGCTCGGGGCTGGAAATTGAGCTAATTTCTGAGGACAGCCAGCAGGAGGTACTGCTGGGTGAGTCTGAATGCTTACACAAGGCAACTTGGGTCATTTCCTTGAGTGCTGTCAATCTGATTGTTAGCTAGCATTTTGTATACCGACTAAACTGGCAAAGGGCCTTGTTCTGATTATGGGTGAAGATCAAATCAATCATGCTGACTATTTTAACATCTGTCACATGCCTTTGATATGCTGACTGTGATGATTTGTAACTCCTAGCACCACTGGTGAGTGGCTGTCCTTTTCTTTCAAGGAGGATCCCATAGGTAGTGCTTTGCAATTGTTTTGTCTGCTCTGAGGACCTTTTCATGCAGGCTGCAACAAGGTTCTATCCTTTAGGTTAAGGAGGGAGGTCTCTGAGCTGCTCTTCCAAATTTTAAAACAAGTCCTTCAACTTGGTACTTTGTGTTGGGAGGCTTCATTTTGAGGCTAGAGTTAATATGGCAAGTAACCATCATATTGCTTGGCAAGAGCTTATGAGCATTAGGATTTCATTTAACTTTATCGTTGCAAATCTGAAGGCTAAAGTTCAGCCCATCCCTACTCTTGGAGCAGGGTGAATCTATAATTTAAAGGAAATTATAAAACTGTGTTAGGAAGTCCTGTATACTGATTGGCCATTAGAATTCATGTTGTGACATACTGCGTGGGATTGCAATGTATCTTTTGGGACCATTGTATTAAATTTATGCATGGTTTGAATTTATGATTGTGTCTTTCCTCATGGAGGAGGGTACCCCATCTCCTCTAGGAACTCAATAAAATGGGGGGGGGGGGGGGTGCAAGTGATTAAAGTGAGTTGCTAAAACTGTAAACAACCTGAGAGGTACCACCCAGTTCTGCTCCATGCTTCTTGGCTAGGGCCACCTGGCCTCCCCTTTCACACACCACACCCTGTGCAGCCAAGGGAAAGGGGTGTCAAAGCTTTAACTGTATGAGGAAGGTGGAGTGGATTAACCCATTTAAGCTTTTTAAAGGTGCTTTGGGTGGGGGTGATTACATCAGTGGCCACTCATGGCAACCCACTGCATTATTCAAACAAACAAAAAGCTTAGTTTAAACCAGTTCAGTTGCTAAGAGCAAATAATTCCTAATTTATTTCCTTGCTTTTATAGCTCTAAAGAGTAAAACCGACAGCTCTGTGGATGAGGGGAAAGCAGTGGACGTGTTATTCCTTGACTTTAGCAAAGCTTTTGACACTGTCTCCCACAGTATTCTTGTCAGCAAGTTAAAGAAGTATGGGCTGGATGAATGGACTATAAGGTGGATAGAAAGCTGGCTAGATCATTGGGCTCAATGGGTAGTGATCAATGGCTCCATGTCTAGTTGGCAGCCGGTATCAAGCAGAGTGCCCCAAGGGTCGGTCCTGGGGCTGGTTTTGTTCAATATCCTCATTAAGGATCTGGAGGATGGTGTGGACTGCACCCTCACAAGTTCCCAGATGACACTAAACTGGGAGGAGAGGTAGATACGCTGGAGGGTAGGGATAGGATACAGAGGGACCTAGACAAATTGGAGGACTGAGCCAAAAGAAATCTGATGAGGTTCAACAAGGACAAGTGCAGAGCCCTGCACTTAGGACGGAAGAATCCCAGGCACCGCTACAGACTAGGGACCGAATGGCTAGGCAGCAGTTCTGCAGAAAAGAACCAAGGGGTTACAGTGGACGAGAAGCTGGATATGCGTCAACAGTGTGCCCTTGTTGCCAAGAAGGCCAATGGCATTTTGGGCTGTATAAGTAGGGGCATGGCCAGCAGATTGAGGGACGTGATTGTTCCCCTTTATTCAACATTGGTGAGGCCTCATCTGGAGTAGTGTATCCAGTTTTGGGCCCCACGTACAAGAAGGATGTGGAAAAATTGGAAAGCGTCCAGTGGAGGGCAACAAAAATGATTAGGGGAGTGGAACACATGATTTATGAGGAGAGGCTGAGGGAACTGGGATTGTTTAGTCTGCAGAAGAGAAGAATGAGGGGGGATTTGATAGCTGCTTTCAACTACCTGACAGGGGATTCCAAAGAGGATGGCTCTAGACTGTTCTCAGTGGTGGCAGATGACAGAACAAGGAGTAATGATCTCAAGTTGCAGTGGGGGAGGTTTAGGTTGGATGGTAGGAAAAACTTTTTCACTACCAGGGTGGTGAAGCACTGGAATGCGTTACCTAGGGAGGTGGTGGAATCGCCTTCCTTTGTGGTTTTTAAGGTCAGGCTTGACATAGCCCTGGCTGGGATGATTTAGTTGGGGATCGGTCCTGCTTTGAGCAGGGGGTTGGACTAGATGACTTCCTGAGGTCCCTTCCAACCCTGATACTCTATGATTCTATAACACACATCGCCCTGACACAATCCCTACCTCAGATACTGCCACTGTTATCTCTAATGATCAAATACTGACTGAAAATCCCCTCAGATAGTTACACGGCTTTCTCTTTTTCAAAAATCAATCTGGAGTCCTTTCTAATGTTG